TAAGGCAATCCATCTACGTCCTGAGGACCTTGCTGCCACCGTCCAAGCGTGCTTGGCCCCGGCAGATGAACCTCAGGATTAAAGGGTGGGCTCAGTTCCGCGCACACTGTGTCTCACCTAAAAAATCCAATGCGCAGGCTGGAAGGTGGAAAGACCTTCCCCGGTTCTTCGTTCGCGAAGAGACTGGCCATCACTGTAACTGCCCAAACTCAGATGCCCTACCTCTTGCCCTGTGGATTTGGACACATATATAATTCTCTCAGAGGTATCTCTATGTCAGTTTGGTTTTAAGGTGAAGTAGATCAGCTTTAACCTCTCACTCTTGTGTTGCATTACAGGTGTTGCTCTTTTCAACTGCTTATTTCAATAGAAAGACATTTGTAAATAAACCCCTTGATTTCTGGTGAGTTTCTCACCTTCATACTCAGTATGTTTAATTTTTCAAATATGCTGAGAAGTCACATCTCCCAGTGAAAATCATGTGCTCTTGAAGAATTCATGATTTTTCCAAAAATAAGCAAAATTGTCTTTCAGCAATTTCAACTGGCACTCAAACAAATACTTTCACCAAAAGATAAAGTCTAATTTTAGTCAAAGATGTTATGACTGGTTATGTGGGTTTTTTTTCATAGTGAATTGTTCTTTTAACCCTGAGGAATATCAAAGCTGGAGGTGCAAGCTGCTACACTGGTGTTCTCTTTTTCTACTCCTCTACTATTAATTTTCATTTTGAGTAATTTTTCCACACCATGTGTCTTCTTACTTGTAATGCTATAAATGAGGTGATTAGGTGATAGATGAGACATGCTATAGCTGAGATCATAGAATGACAGAATCACAGAATATCTCAATTTGGAAGGGACTCGCAAGGACCATCAAGTGCAACTCCTGGCCCTGCACAGGACAACCCCAAAACCCCACCATGTGTCTGAGAGCATTGTTCAAATGTTTCTTGAACTCTGGAGGGTTGGTTCCCTCATCACTTCCCTAGAGTGTGTGTTCCCGTGACTTTTCCACCTCCTCATGTCCAACCAGTGGTCACCAGAGAGAGGAGATCAGCATCTGCCCCTCCACTGCCACCCTGGAGAAAGTTG